CTGACACTCACAGAGGATTCGGGTTTGGTGGAGTCAAATGAGTCTTTACTTTTTCGTAGTGAGGAGGTTGAACTGCTTTTCTCAGAAGATTCCGTGGGCTTGGATGAGGGAGAGGCTGAGCTGCTGGAGTCTTTGGAGGACCCTGCTGAGGTTCGTTTGGAAGCAGGAGATGCAGCTGAGCTTTGACTTTCCGCATTCTCTGTGGACTTTGGCTTAGTTGAAGAGTCGCTTTCACCATTGGGGTCTGCGTCTGCTGCGTCATCGTTAATTTCATCAACAGTGACAAAGTCGTCTACATTGAAATCCGGCTCACCAAAAGGGCGGCTCTCTGAAGAAACGTTCTTCTCTAAATTATCAACTTGAACCTAGATGGAAAAACCAAAAACAGTCTGTGGAGCCATGAAACAGCTTACCCTATAATCAGAGTGTAACTATCACAAATATAACCTTACTGACATTGTATATGGTTCCTTGTATGTAGAAAACTTACTATAATATACCAAATGTCTCCTCCTATATGATCAGGATGTCAGTAAACAAATTATGCCCCTCAGAAATGGCCATTTTGTAGCATTTACACACCTATAACACCTTAGAAAAGCATCACATTTTAATTTAACAACAATAATGGTTAAGAGGCCATGTAAGAATAGGCAGTGAAAGACAATCTACACTGAAAAAACAGCATTGAATTTTGTCAGTGTGATTAAGTGTTTGAGTTAACCAACAACACCCCCCCCCCACAATAAATCCTCGTGGGTCTGATGAACGTTTACCTTTCTGTTTGGTGTGTCTTCATCCTGTGCCCTACTAGGGCTGCTGCTTTTGCTCTAGAAATGAAGATAAGATAAGAAAAAACATTAAACCGAACTGATTTTGCGTTATTCTGTGCTGGTTTTGGCAAGCACTAAAATATGGCCTAAAATGTGTTTAGTGAGTGGTGATGCTAAGGACTGGACATGCACAAGCTTACAAAAAAAAAATATATATATATGTAATGATGACCTTCGCTTTAATTTATCAGTTGCAGAAATAATGCAAATCTAAAAACTGTATCATCAGCGTTAGTTATTCATACAGCCTGCAGCTTTACCGCAACAATCGACAGTGTACTACTATACAATGCTCACATGTAATCTCCAACATAAGGCTTTTAGTGTCTTAAGATATTTTGGGACAACACAGTGAAATTTAAAGTGTTACCTCTCTGTCCTTGCTCTGTGCCCTACTTTCTCGACTCTGTCTATGCTCACGAAGCGCCGCTGTAATGGCCATGAAAACGTCCTCGTTGATGTGAGGAAGTTTTGAGTCTTTTTCCTCAGACTTGACTGGGCTTGTTGCTGAAGGAGCAGCGCTAGAAGCGGCGGGGGCGGCGTTTGCATCAGGAGTAGTGACCAAAGTTTG